CGCGCTGGGTCAGGCTCGCTTGTGAACAGACAGAACCGCGGCTGCTGCCGAGTGTCGGGAATGCGCTGCAGTGAGCAGCGTCAGACCCAGCCCTGAACCTCCACTAGCGCCATTCCCGAGTGTCAAATTTAGCCTAAAGGTGGCTGGAGAAATGGGAAGAGGCTGCGTGCACCTCTTGGCGGGCCGTTCCCGAGGTGGCAAGCAGCAGCTCCTTTCCACCAATGTGCCTGGTGGGAGCAAAGAGCAAACCTCTCCCTGTTGCAGCTCCAGCATCAGGACATCTCGGCTGTGAGCAGACATACAACCTCTCATACATACGAGAGGACGTAGTCTTAAGCTGGGCTAGGGGAGAAGGTGATTAGACATTGTAATGACTGCCCATGGATGTGGCAGACACACGCCTGGAGATGTTTAAACAAAGTGCCACATCCAGTCTTAGTGCTGTGTTCTAGTTGTCACGGTGTTATTCAGTCATAAGTTGGATTTGATGATCTGAGGTCTTTTCCAGCTTAATAAATTCTGTGTGGTTTTGCATGTGATTAATTTTGGAATTATTTGGATGTATTTTGCTTCTTTCTTTTGGAAAAAATAATTCTTCATATGTATTGCAGTTGAAGTTGTCAAAGTGTATACAGAAACATGCTTGTCGTATGGTTGTGCCAATATAAAGAGATGTCATCCCGGCATTTCTCAGAGCATGTGGTGTGTGCTGACCGTTGTGGATAGGCCCTTTGGCCACAGAACCTCATATGGAGGCTTCAAAGTCTCCTGGCCTGCCTGTCTCTACCTATCCACCCTGAATGACAAAACCCTGGGCTCAGTTTTTCTACATACTACATCAAAAACACAGGAGGCTGAGCCTCAATTTTGGCCTAGCTCTGACTGGCTTTCCACCACCTTTGGCAAATTGGTCCAGGGACAAGATGGAACTGCATGAACAACTGTGTGCTCTCCCTCACAGCCTGCTGCAGTGAGGATATTGTGGATGTGCCCTCCTAATGTCAAAACTGAAGTTGCTAATTTTGTTACTGAGGAACATTTGCAGAAAAGGAGTTCAGGTAGCTGTAACGCAGCTATGTGAGAAGATCAAGCCAAATCTACTGAGCTGGAGGTGTGGCCAAGGGTCTTTATGACTGCTGTGCTTTATGTGGCACCATTGCACAGCTTCTTGGTTCCCTGCATTGGAGGAATGCATGGAACTCCAGCTGTAGGATCATTACACTCAGCATGACCTCCATCACACATTAAACTAGTAATGTAAATGTACCTGTTCTGTCCTATTTCCCAATCTATACTGGCCAACTGATACCATAAACGCCATGGGAGATACTTCTGACATTCCATTCCTTCTCATCAGTGAGGAGCAACCCACACTTTGCAGCAGCTAGTCGGGATACGTGTTTGAACACGCCTGGCCACATTCAGTGCCTGTCTCCAGCTGCCTGTGACACTGGCCAAACAAACAGCAGTCAGTCCCAGCCCAGGCACCAATCTGGAAAGCACTGGCTTGGACACCTTCCTTCTACTAGCAGAAAGTATGCTGTCCTGCGAGAAAGTGAGGATCTTGTTATCCTACCAGTGCAATTCCTATCTTGCTGTTTATTATTGCAAGGGCATGAGTTATTTTATAAAACTGTTTACTTAGCAGCAGGAGTACAGTAAATACTATAAATAGTTAACAATTATTATAACACCTGCAAAACTTGAATAATCTCCTCAAAAATTGAATCATCTCCTTCATGTAGATACATGGAACAGCTGACTGAGAAGTCTACGTATTCCAAGTCATGATATAAAATCTGTGTGCCAAAATATTTTGAAATGTTTAAAAAATACGTCTTCTTGTTGTACTGAAGTTAGGATACTTCCATTACCAATCCAAACTCGTTTCTTTCATAGAATACATTAGTATCAATCCCTTATTTTTATCAATATATCCACATAGTCAATTTTTAAGTCAATACTGAAAGTGGTTGCTTTTCTAAAGTACTTTTCTAATTTTTGACTGCAAAGAGTGTGGAGGCTGTTATTCATCAGCAAAAAAATGGTGGTTGTTTTTTTGATAAGAAGTTTTGGGTTGTATTTTCCCTCTCATCCTTAAAGGACTGGTGTTCTAAAGAAACTGCCAGTTCTTCCATTAGGTGAAAAGCTGTTCTGGAAATTAGCAACCATACTTATGTTGACTTCATTAGACTGGTACTTGAAGTTGTATTTTAACACCTCTCTTATTTTTCTTTCCTGATTCCAGATTTGTGTGATATTTATGCTTTTTTAATGTTCTTAGAATGTGTGAATGACAGCTGCCTTTCAAATGTTAGCATGTCTCTCACTGCAACTTCCTCTTCAATTAATGCAGCCCACTCCCTATACAAATCACTGTTGCATACCTGAAGCATGTAGAAATCATGAGTCACATCTAAACGAAATATTATCCTCTAGTTAAACTCCCAATATTGTAAGTGCTTGTGTATTTCTATTTATATATTTTCTATTTTATAAAACCTTTCGATTTTTGAGCCTTAAGGTATGCTGAGATCATATTCTCTTAGGAATGTGGTGGTAATGAATGTGAATGTTAGTAAAAAGTAACAATGTGCCTTTCCTGTCTTTTTTAATAAAAGTGGAGATAGTCACATAATCACAGGCCTCCAGGAAATAGTGGAGTTACTCTTATGGCAGCATGCCTCAGAAGAAATCACTCCCCTCTGAAAACAAACTGTACTAACCTATTTTTAAGCCTATTTACCCTTGTTTATCCAGTTGTTCCAAATACTACATGATGAACATGAAATGCCCTTTTCCTTTTAACATTGAATGGGCCTTTTTCCCAAGAAAACTGATCTTAAATATTGCTGTTGCTGCCACATTTCTGAGTGAACAGATTCACTTGCCTTCTTTTGGTTTCTTGTTTCTCCTCCTTACAACTCCCATATGAGTTTTTTTAATCAGAGCAAATCCATCTTTGTTGAAATTAACAGTAGCGTTATGGTACTAATATGTATTATTTGTTTATGTGTAATCTGTAATGACCACATTACAGATTACAGTTCTTTCCTAAGTGTCCCACACTAGTTCCATTCCCACAAAGTTAGTGATGACCTGCTGTGACTGTGCAGTTCTTGCTGCTAAAAGTGAACAATCCTAGTTCATGACTCTGAGACTTCAAAAAGACAACAGAATCCTCTCCTGCAGTTAATATGTCAATGTTTATATAACTTAAACTGATCCATAGCATATCCTCTATTGGGTGGTCATGCCTGATCAGGTCATATAATTTCTGCTCATTTTATGATAACTGTATTCCTGGGCATTGGCCATTTTGATGAAACTGTTGGAAGCATTACTGCTGACTCTGTACTTTGAAAATAAATGATCCACAAAGCAGAACTCCTAAATCCTAAAGATTGACTTGAAAAACTCTATTTATTTTTGAAAGGACAGTTTATTTACATATGAGCTTTTCACTTAAATTCACTTTCTGTATTCAGTTCTCTTCTCAGAGACTGGAATAGGTAGGTATATTTATTTTAAAACCTGAATCTGAGCCATTCAGTTCCTCTGGAACTGAGCTTAAAGAAGAATGTCAGCTATCAGAAAATGACAGATTTCATAACAAACTGTGACAAAGAAATAATAGAATTTAAGAAAATGCCAACAAGAGAGACAAAGGCTTTAGGAGTAAAACAAAGAAGTAATAGTGACTAAAAGTTGATGTTTATTATGATAGTCAACTTTCTCCTTCCAGCTTCTTCAGGAAGCAAAAATGTAGTTACAGAGGGGCAGATGGATGAAATCATGAATGCAGATGCATGGTTGAGGGGATCATCCTGAAGCTATTCAGAGAGAATGGAAAAATCTCATTAGTAGGACAGTATCAAAATACTCACCCACCTCTTGGTCTAAAACCTTTTTGCCCTACTATTTTATGTCTCAGAGAATTGGTGCTAAAGACTACTGCATGTTTTAATCAATATTTCTAA